TTACATATCTAAGCTAATTGTCCTAGAAAGGAAAAAGTTAATCTACAATTTGATTACAATAAGTAATGTTAAATTTTCTTTATAAGGGTGTTTTTCAAACAAAAAAAAATTATTGGAAAAGTTACTGACAAATTCTAACAAATATTAACTTTAAACACAGTTTTTAATTGTCTACAGACGAAGGTATGGTGATTATGAGATGGGAAGGTGGGCCGGGGCAGGTAGAAGAGGGTAAATGGGAGAGAAATGGTGATGACAGGAGATTAGACTTTGGATGGTGCACACACAATACGATATAAAGATGCTATATTATAGAATTGTACACCTGAAACCTATATAATTTTATTAACCAATATAACCCCAATAAATTCTACTAAAAATAAATAAATATTTAATTGTCTAAATTATTAAGTTAGAAAATATTCTTCTACCATTTAAATCAGCAGGGTCTGAAGCATGTACCTCATTTTAAAATCAGTTAGTTGTAATATTAACATTACAAAAAAGGTACTACAATTTTTGTAAGATGTGAAAGATATGATCTTGATGTAGCCTATTAAAAATTGCTCAACACGCCCAACTGGCGTGGCTCGATGGTTGAGTATCGACCTATGAGCCAGGAGGACACGATTTGATTCCAGTCGGGGCTGGGTGCCCTGGAGCTCACAGTCCAGTAAGACAAGGAAGGTATTTCCATCCTTGGTGCCTGTGTTTGTTGTATCAGAGCACAATCAACCTGTAGGATGGTGGTGGGGGGACAACTACCCAGCACAGGGGCTCAGATTTCAGGGGAGCTGGAGAGAACACCTTCCAGGGCGGGGTGTGGGAGGGACAGGTGAGATGGGAGAAAGGGGAGAACACACTAGAGCAGTGGTTCTCAACCTTCCTAATGCCACGACCCTTTCATACAGTTCCTCATGTTGTGGTGACCCCCAATTTCATTGTTACAAATTGAACATAATTAAAGCATAGTGATTAATCACAAAAACAATATGTAATTATATATGTGTTTTCCGATGGTCTTAGGCGACCCATGTGAAAGGGTCGTTTGACCCCCAAAGGGGTGGCGACCCACAGGTTGAGAACCGCTGCACTAGAGGATGTCAGAGTCCATGTGAGTGCCTGTGTGGAGGCCCACCACATGAGGGCAGCCTGGCACTGTCGTATCCTAAATGTAGTGCAGAGGCTTCCCGGAGCAGAGGGCTTAGCCAAGGGTGCAGGACCCAGGGGCTGAGGGGCACCCACAGGAGGGAGCAGCGGAACTGGGGTGTGGAGCTGGTGGGAGGAGAGTCAGCACATGGAGGAGGAACCGGCTGTGAGGGGCAAGGTTCATCATATATGGATGCGGTGGTTTGAAAAAGTAAATATGCTAATAAATATACTGACAATTAAATATATTAAAATAGGTTAATATTAAGAATAATGACAGCAACACTCCTCCTCACTGTTAGGGAAGGGAATTACAAATATGGGGAAATAAACAGAAATGAACACTGTGACTCACCTGGCATGGCTCAGTGGTTGAGCACCAACCTTTGAACCTTGGAGGTCACCTTTCCATTCCCAGTCAGGGCACATGCCCAGTTTGCAAACTCGATCCCCAGTAGGGGGCATGCAGTAGGCAGCCAATCCATGATTCTCTTTCATCATTGATGTTTCTCTCTCTCTCCCTCTCCCTTCTTCTCTGAAATCAATGAAAGTGTATATATAAATAGACACTGCATTTGGATGGTAAATAGAAGTACTAGTATTAATGCTTGTCATCATATAAAGAAATAGAAGGTAACATACCTACACTGTAAACATATATTTTATATACATGTAAAATATATATATTTATGTATGAAATGTATAAATTAATTTATATATACATGCATATATATAAATGTGTGTTTATATA